TATATATATATATATATATATATAAATATATATATAATACAATATATATTTTGTGTACATATATTTAGTAAAACAAAAATGTTATTATAAATATAATTAAATAAATACATTTAAAATATATATAAAAAAACAATAATTAAATATTTTCTCTTTAATTTAAATGTTTCAGATACAGCACATTTTAATGTTAGAAATATGCTTTGTTAGGCACATTTTTCAGTTAATTTTATAGCACAAGTGTTATTGGACCATGTGTTAATTTTTTTTTTTATTAAATATAAAAATATAGGGTAATAAACAAGCTATATTTACTTTAGTACATATTTGACAAAATAATAATAATAATAATAAGGAATGTCACTTTGGGATATCCAAGAGTTTTGAATTGATTCATTGCAACAAAAAAGTGATTCACATAAGTAAACTGAATTGAGCAATGCTAGCTGTATGCAACTCAGGTTTAAAGTCAGTGTGAAATGATATGAGTAATTCTTGATATCAGTCACCTTCAGAGCTGAAGCAGTTCTCAAGACAAGGAAAGATTGCGAAACTAGTCTGATGACACGCTCTTTGGGAAACTTCAACAAAAAGCACATTGAAAAATTGTAATGCTCACAATCTTGTGTCATTTTATACCTCCATCAAAAACATGAAAATTACTATATAAATAAAATATTACCCAGCCCTGCCTACTTCTATGTTCCACGTGAAGAAGTGCATGTTTGTGTCTGTGCTGTAGTGGTGGACGAGCAGAACACTCACACGGAGGAGCAGGAGCTGCAGTCTCCCACAGACTTCAAGAAGGACAGTGAGGAGGAAAGCAGAGACAACGAGAAGGACGAGGACACTAAAGAACTGGAAGCCTTGCCCTGTGAGTTCACGCTTCTATATCTTAGACATGCTGTTGCTGTTAACTGTTTCCTATGAGACACAAAGTGCTCTTGCTGATCGGCCTTAAAAGCTGAATCCTCCATTGGGCTGCATTCAAGTGCCAGGATGTGTTTTGTCTCACAGGAGCTGTTTGTGCATGAAAGGCTTTTTTGTAAGTCTATTCTTTATAGAACGACTGGAATGCACTGTATGCTTGAAATACTCATACGATTTATTACAGTTGCCAACATGACAGTTGTACAGTAACGGGGAACTCTGAACTAGGGACTTCTTCACCACAATGCAATGCACATTACTCCAGCGTGACAAAGAAACTGAAAGCAATGTTAGTCGTGAGCATCTTTTTTTTGACTCACTATTTAATCAGATTGCCAAAAGTTACATTTTTAAAACAACATTTGCTTCAAAATATAAAATACCTCGATTCATTTACAAGATGATAACCGGACGCCACTTATGTGCAACATCATGAGATCATGTGACTAATCATCTATGGCGGAAAAATGCCTACTAATATGCAAAAACAGTAGGCAGGATGCAGTACATACTGGACATTGTTCAGTACGTCAGTTTTACATTCTGAACATAACTGTGCATTTTCAGCATATTATGATCTGAGACACAGTCATTCTAACAGCACTTTATTTAGGATGAACTGTGTGTGGTTCAGCCCTTGCTTTGGAGCTGAAGTATCTGAATGCATTCGTGGCTGAAAGGGTTAGTGCTGCCCTCTAGTGACAAACTCATTGTAGTAAATTATTGCAATTCAATGTAACTTCTTTAAAACAAATTAACCGCAGCATAAATTGTTGTTGCTGTTATTATTATTATTATTGGTTTTTATTTATTTATTTTTGGGATTATTTTTATATAAAAGAATGAACAAATTAACCGCAGCATAAATTGTTGTTGTTGTTGTTATTATTATTATTGGTTTTTGTTTATTTATTTTTGGGATTATTTTTATAAAAAAGAATGAACAAATTAACCGCAGCATAAATAGTTGTTGCTGTTATTATTATTATTATTATTATTATTATTATTATTATTATTATTATTGGTTTTTATTGATTTATTTTGGGGATTATTTTTATAAAAAAGAATGACTAGAAACTTAAATTATTATTGTTATTATTACGGTTTATTTTTATTGAAAAAAGAATTACTGTTAGTTGTTTCACACATTACTTTTAGTTTAACATTTCACCAACTTAAATTATTGTTATTATTATTACTTTTTTATAATAAAAATGCAGCAACATAAATTATTATTATTAGTAGTAGTAATAGTATTAATAATATTCTAAATAAAGACTCTTTTACACATTAGTCTTAGTTAAAAAAAATCAGCAACATTATTATTAGTAGTATTTGTATGATTATTATTATTTTTATATGGGTTTATTTTTATTAAAAAATTACTATTAGGTGTTTCACACATTACTTTTAGTTTAAAATTTCACCAACTTAAATAATTGTTATTATGAATAATTTTTTTATAATAAAAATGCAGCAACATAAATCATCATGATTATTATTATTGATATTCTAAATAAAGAATTACTCTTAGTTGTTTTACACATTAGTCTTAGTTTAAAAAAGCAGCAACATTATTATTATTAGTATTAGTATATTATTATTTTTAAATGGGTTTATTTTTATTAAAAATTACTATACGTTTTTTCACACATTACTTTTAGTTTAAAATTTTAGCAACTTAAATTATTCTTATTCTTATTATTAGGTTTTTATAATTAAAATGCAGGAACATGAATTATTATAATTATAATTATTATTATTATTATAATTAAAGAATTACTCTTAGTTGTTTTACACATTTCTCTTTGTTTAAAAATCAGCAACATAAATTATTATTATTATTATTATTATATGGGTTTATTTCTATTAATAATCTCTGAAAAGGTCTTCACTCTTATAGTTATAGTTGTTTTCATGAAGCCAGACTGTTCTAAATGGGGAGACAAGCTTTTTTTTTTTGCAAAATTGCTCAATAACACAATCTTTTTCCTTCAGAAGGTCTGGGATTTCCTAACGGCTTACAAGACCGTAAGTGTTTATGGCTGCAAATATGTTTGTAGGTGTCCCAGAGGATCCTGTGCTATATTTCTGTCTATAGAGAACATATCTTTGTTTGCTGGACAGTGGCACTTCCTGTTTACATAGTGGCCTGCTGTCTGCTCATGTTTCCAGTGGGGCACGAAACACTGGCTTTATTCTCTTTAGTTGGTTCAGTCTCTCAGGGGCTCCTCCGTCTCATAGCTGTTAAGTGCCCTTGATGTGTTTTGGTTTGTTCATGTGGGTTACGTTCTGCTGAATATCTCTTCTACAGCAGATTTTTCACTTCTTGTTGAGAGCCAGTGACCAAAATGCACGGGTTATTCTTACGTGCTGGAAAAACTGAGCATTTAGAAAACAAAACAGCATTAGATTTTGCTGCGTAACGGGCACTTGGGCAGATTATTGCTGTGACAAATGAGCGTGTTGTACACATGAGCTGATGTTTTGTTCTGTGTTTGTGCTTTCGCAGTGACTAAGTCGCTGTGTTCGCCGCCAGAGAGGCGTGTGAGTCGCAGCACGCAGTCCTGCGGCTCCTTTTCCATCACGCCCTTCACCACAAGCAAGGAGAACCTGCCTGTTCTCAACACGCGCATCATCTGTCCCGGTACGACAGCGAGTCTTTACTCTGCTGCTGCTGCTGCTGACCGGAAAACATCCAAAAGTGCCATTTCTGTCATCGTTTGTTCACTGTCATGCTGTTTCAAACCTGTGTGACTTTCGTTTTTTTTCCACTGAACACAAAAGGAGATGTTGCTGCTCTTTTCCGTTTAGTGAAAGTGAATTGTGACCTGTGGCTGCTTTTAAAAAGACCATTAAGGATTCATAAGTGTAGTCCAGAAGTCTGCAGAATGCTTGTAAAAAAGAATTGTATTGAATGTGTGCTTCAAGTAGTGTACTTCAAATCTTAAGTATAATAAAAAAAAAAATTATAACATATTAATTAAATAAAAGCACAATAAAGTGTACTTAAAAAGAGCACACTTTCATGACACTTAAGTACACTTTTAAGAGTGCACTTTGTAATAATGTCAGTTAAAAGTACTAATCACAAAAGCACATAGAAATTACAGTCTATTGTCTATTATTATAGAAATTATTGTCTATTTTAGTATACCGTAATTACATTCTGCAGTACATTACAATAATATTTCAAAAACACTAGAAATAATTAGCAAATTACATATAACCATGTACTTGTGTCTAACTTAAGTGGATCAAAAAACACTCAAAATTTCAGCCAATTGCACTTAATATAAATTTAAACTATAATACATTTTCATTTAATTGCAATTAACATGTAGTTAAGTGTCCAAACATTCAGTTCTCTCTTAAGTATATTGTTTTAAAGAATAGTTTTTATTTCCATAAAAGTATGTTAAGTTGTACTTTTGAAAACTGGAAGCTTTTCTGTGAGGAACAGACCAAAATTTCGATTTTTATTTGCTGAAAATAATAGAAATAATAATCCTAGATTTCAGTCGGTTTCTCACACAAAGCTATCATATGACCTCAGAACACTTGGAATATAGCGCACAATATTTATGATGCTTATTAAGTGCCTATTTGGAGCTTCAGACACCTTTCATCATGAATATTCTGCAAAACATCTTCTTTTGTGTTTCACTAAAAAGAAAGTTAAACAGGGTAAAAACAACAAGATGAGTAATCAATAATAGACTTTTCATTAAAATATCAGTTTTAATTATGGTTTTTCTGATTTGAAATCTTCAGGTCTGCGGGCAGGTCTTGCTGCCTCTATAGCTGGAAGCTCCATAATCAGCAAGATGCTGCTTGCCAACATTGATCCCTTTGGTGCAACACCCTTCATAGATCCTGACCTGGACTCTCTGTAAGAGCTTCGGTTTCCTTTTTCTTGTTTCAGTTTATTTTGAATGTATTCGTAAAACTTACACAAGTCATTTCTCCCACAGAGAGGGCTATTTGGAGAAGTGTGTGATGAATAACTACTTTGGGATTGGGTTGGATGCAAAGATCTCACTGGAGTTCAACAACAAGCGAGAGGAGCACCCAGAGAAATGCAGGTAGTTCAGGATATCAGCATAGTCTTATTTCATATACTGCATTTACCAAAACACCACTGACTAGGACTCAATGATTGACTAGTACTTCTTTCACTGTCCAGAAGTCGCACTAAAAACATGATGTGGTATGGAGTTCTGGGGACGAAAGAGCTTCTGCAGCGGACCTACAAGAACTTGGAGCAGAAAGTTCAGCTGGAGGTGAGACGAATTTTTTTTTTTTTTGAGGTAACCCTAATACCACAATTTGGGATTGAATAAAGCATTAAACATTAAATGAGCATAACTATTAAATAAATAATAAAAAAATAATAATAATTTGTAAAAAAACTAAACAAAACAAAAACAAGATACATATTAATAGGTTGTAACTATTATTTCACATAAATAAAAAACAAAAGATTAGTCTGATCATTTGTTTGCTCAATAACTTGGTAACAGATTGGATATAAATGATGGTACATCATGAATGTCACAATACAGTATATGAAATGTTCTCTTGTTTCTTTTAACAGGAGGAAAATTGTGCAGTAACAGGGTTGACATTTGATGTTGTAAAGTACTTTTATGTTAAATAATAGTTTATCTTACATATCTAGTACAGTGGTGCTCAACCCCCTTCATTGTCCCATATTCAAAGGCCAGATGCCCTTTTTCCAGTTGTTTGTGATTTTTTTTACTCACAATTGTGACCTGATAAAAATGTTTAGAGCTTGGCATAACTAGAAAAACATTGCCACAGAGATTTTATTAATATACATGTAATGATTTTTCCAGGTCTAGAAATTGCAGTTAAATTTAATTCAAATTAAGCTTCTTGAAAGTTTGGTCTAGTAGTTTTTATTTTCAGGAACAACAGACTTGTGCCTTGATTTGTGCTTTAAAAAAAGTAGCGGACACTAGTTGCTGCAATATTTGTGGAAAGTGCCAAATGTTGCCAAGCCTGAACAACCAACAAATGGTTTGATTTAACTGATTTAACGACAACAGCTGCTGGAACTGAACGTCTGAAGCAGTTGTGGGTCAAACGATTGCGTTGGCCGTCGACCGCTGTCCCAGTTTCAAGTTCAGGGCTCCTCATGGCTGTGTGATTGATTCTGCAGTGTGACGGCCAGTACATCCCACTCCCCAGTCTCCAGGGAATCGCTGTGCTGAACATCCCCAGCTACGCCGGGGGAACCAACTTCTGGGGCGGCACCAAAGAGGATGACGTAAGTCATGCTGCTAGAGGTCATGAGGGGCTTTTCTTATCAAACAGCATTACCATCCTGGCTCTGAGCTGTTCAGCCCTTAGACGTCAGTTAAAGGGATAGTTCACCCCAAAATAAAAATTTGATGTTTATCTGCTAACCCCCAGGGCATCCAAGATGTAGGTGACTTTGTTTCTTCAGTAGAACACAAACGAAGATTTTTAACTCAAACCGTTGCAGTCTGTCAGTCATATAATGTAAGTGGATGAGAATCACGGCTCTGTGCATGAAACTGAACAGTATTTATATCGTTTTTTACCTTTGATTCACCGCAATGTCCGAACTCTCCTGAGCGCGAGTGTCAATGTTCCATTTGAGACATAGGTGGCGGTAATGCACTTGTAAGTCTGCGGTCTGCCGTAAAGCAAGAAGAAGAAGAAGACGCGTCTGAGAACGCGCTAAGGACAGTTCGGACATTGCAGTGCATCAGAGGTAAAAAACTATATTGGGTGAACTATCCCTTTAAGAGTTGAAATATGACACCATGTAGAGAGGACATGATGTAGAGTTGTTTAATTAAGAGGATGAGCAGGCCCTGTGTTGACTCATGTTGTTTAACGTGCAGCTGGCTCTGAACAAAACCTTTTGAACCCAGAGTGACACGGGTCTTTGTTCGCAACAAGTGGCCTTTTGGCATCTGGTTTGTTTTAACTCACAGGGCCTCGTTCAGAATGAGGTTACCTCCGGACACAAGGTCTGGTTACAGAAGGGCAGAGTGCAGAAGATGCTTAGATGTCTGTGATCTTGGACAGGACAGTCGAGGACTCCGTTGAGTAGCTTTTTTAGAAATGGAAGAGAGTTTAACACTGTAAAGTCTGACATATGAAATAATAGTCTGATGTTTTACTGAGAAAAAACAAGATTTGGTTTTTAAAAAGCCTTTTTCCAGAAGGTACATCTGGAAAAAGGGGGGGTCGTCTTATAATCAGGGTCGTCTTATATTCGGGCCAATACGGTAACCATAAAACAGGGGATTAGAACAGTTTAATGAATAATTTGTCCAAAATGGCTTCATTAACACTAATGTTCAAAAGTCTGAGATCCTTAAGATTTTTAATGTTGTTGAAGGAAGTCTCTTCTGCTCAGTAAGACTGTGTTAATTTGATCAAATATACAGTAAAACAGTAATATTGTGAAATATTACATTTAAAATAATTATTTTAAAGATTCATAATTGTTAAAAACAGTCGCGCTGTTCAATATTTTTTTGGAGACGGTAATTTATTCTTTAGGAGTCTTTGATGAATCAAGATTTCAAAAGAACAGCATTTATTTAAAAAATGGTCAAAATTAGCGCGTTAACGCAGGCGATTAATTTTTTCAGTTTAACGCATTAAAAATATTTAAAGCAAGGAAAGGGGCTAGGGTTGGCCACCCCACTCACAACTGCTGCTTCTGTCACTTTTTCTCTTGACAAGAAGTACAGCACAAAGGTGCCGGCGTGACAGGCTACAGCGCGTAAAAATCCTTTCACATCAAAGCGCGAAATAAACTATGTGCATGCAATGTCGTGGTCCGTTAAGTCATGAAGTTACCAAAAAGTTGATTAAAGCTGCCTTAAAACTGTGCATGCATGTAATATATTTTATATGAGTCACATTTAAGAACATGTCTCTGAAATGGTTTTCAAAACTGATCTCACTCATCTAACACACCCGATTCAACTCGTCATTGTCACTTTTGATCAATGTAATGTGTCTTTGCTGAATAAAATTAATAATTTATTTAGAAAAAAAATCTTATTGACCCCAAACTTTTGAACAGTAATGTTTGCATATGTGGTTTTGTTGAGTATCATATTTGATACATCAGGCTTTTATGGTTCATAATATATTATGATATAGTGAAAACATGGAGCTCTTATTCGAAGAGGAGATACCACCTAAATGTTTATTCAGAGGCCCAAACTGAGCAAAAATACACAATTTGGTGCAGATGTTGTTATTTATATGGTCAAAAGGTAGGCTGAAATTCTGTTTGTAATGTAAATCAATTCGATTTTTATAACACTGTAGAAGACAACTATATAAATATCAGTTGCCACTCTATATCTTCCAGTTATATGTCTTAGTAAGTAAGATGGTTTATAAGTGTCAATGTGTGTAACCTTGCTAAACACTGGCTGTAAAACTCGCTATCATTTAAAAGAGTCTTGTATTTGTTTTTCAATAAAGGCATTTGAAAACACGCTTAAGTCTTGGGAGGATAAACTGAAATACGACAAGCCTCCGCTGAGGCCGCCCCTGTATTCTCAGCACTCTGTGGATCTGGCCACAGAGGAGGAGGCCACGCTCATCCAGATGTGCGCTCGAGCCGCAGAGGATCTCATCACCAGGATCTGCGAGGCTGCCAAAAACTACCAACTCCTCGAGCAGGAGCTGGCCCACGCCGTCAACGCCTCCTCACACGCCATCAACAAAACACACCCCAAGTTCCCCGAGGTGAACAATGCCAGCACTGAAGGACCGTTCACACCAATGAGTTATCATCATTCATCCTCTATACTATTACAAAAACCTACTTTGTCTCCAAATCACACAATTCTAATCTGGGTTTGGTGTGAAAGAGTTCAAAGTTCTATACTGATTTTTATCAGAGCACGTGATAGTTTTGTATGAAAATCGTTTTGCATTATCATTAAAAGCCTCTTTTGAAAAAATGAATGGTATTTTTACTTCAGGAACCCAACTATTGTGCTCTGTTGTCCTCATAGTTCAAATAAGTCACATAATTATGAGTAAATTCTCACGTCTGATTCATCTGTTCTCCTCAGAGCCTGACAAGAAACACTGCCATTGAGGTGGGCAGCACCGTGAAGGCCCTGCACAATGAGACCGAGTTGCTGCTAGTAGGACGAGTTCCATTGGTGAGTTGATTTAATGCTTTTAAGCTCATTTTCATTCACCTTTTCCAAGACATAAATGTTAATGGTTCTGCAAAGCAGGTCCCCATAAGGAAGAATAATCACATATGAGATCTTTTTAACATCTCCATTATTTCTCTTAAACTGCACTGAGATGCAGAGCAAATGGAGTCTTACATCTGTTTTTTACATCTATGTTGAAAGCATTTTAGGAGAAGCATCTAATACAAAGCTTATACTTGGATGGAGTACATTTTCAGCAAATTTTCATTTTTGTGTACACTACTCCTTTAAATGAAACATAATTGACTATAATAACAGTCTTAAAGGGATAGTTCACCCAAAAATTAGACTGACAGACTGCAACGGTTTGAGTTAAAAAATCTTTGTTTGTGTTCTACTGAAGAAACAAAGTCACCTACATCTTGGATGCCCTGGGGGTAAGCAGATAAACATCAAATTTTCATTTTTATTTTTGGGTGAACTATCCCTTTAAGGTATAAACTTTCAAGCAATACAATTTTCCCTCACCAGAATGACCATGCCAGATGCGTATGGCTATAGTAGTAAACAAAAAAAAAAACTTGAGGCTTTGATTCATTGACTCAGTCTGTGAGTTTATTTCTCTAGCAACTGGACCCTCCGCATGAAGAGCTGCTGTCCAGTGCCCTGCAGAGCGTTGAGGTTGAACTGGGAAAGCTGGCTGAGATCCCCTGGCTCTACCACATCTTACAGCCCAATGACGAGGAGGTGAGCACATCCTACAGAAACCGAGGGAAGCAGAAAGAATAGCTCCCTTGAAGCTTGTTCCCTACAGGATAGTTTTCGGAAACATGCTGACATCATTTATTCACCCTCATGTCATTACAAACCTGGTTAACTTTCTTTTTTCTGTAAAACACTAAACCATGCGTACAGTGAAAGTCAGTGGGGTCAAATGTTGTTTGAACTTGATGTTCTTTCAAATATCTTTTATTTGTGAAGATATTCCTTTGTTCTATTAAAAATATCTAATTTCCACAATGTCAGCTACCCTAATATGTATACATACACTACTATTCAAATATATGGGGCAGAGTTATTATAGTAAACTAAAACTATTAAAAAAATAAAAAAACATTTGTTACTTGAAAAAATATATATTTAAAAAAAACTTAAACTTGTTTTATTTCAGCTAATTGCCAAGGAAACTTGACATTCTAAAATAACTAAAACTAAAAATTATTCAAAATATTATAGACCTACTAAAAAAAGACCTAAATTATAGACCTACTAAAAAATATCTAAAGAAAAAAAAGACAAAAAAAACAACAACAAAATTACTAAATCTTTGAAATTAAAATGAAAACATTATATATATACTGTATATATATATAAATTGAAAATATTAATAAAACTGTAATAAGTATATCTCAGCTATGCTAAAATAACACTGTTATGGGGTCAGACTGGTCAGAAGTGACAGTAAAGACATATGTGACCCTGGAGCACAAAACCAGTCTTAAGTCACTGGGGTATATTTGTAGCAATAGCCAAAAATACATTGTATGGGTCAAAATTATAGATTTTTCTTTTATGCCAAAAATCATTAGTATATTAAGTAAAGATCATGTTCCATGAAGATATTTTGTAAATTTCCTACCATAAATATATCAAAACTTAATTTTTGATTAGTAATATGCATTGCTAAGAACTTCATTTGGACAACTTTAAAGGCAATTTTCTCAATATTTAGATTTTTTTGCACCCTTAGATTCCAGATTTTCAAATAGTTGTATCTCGGACGAATATTGTTCTATCGTAACAAACCATACATCAATGGAAAGCTTATTTATTCAGCTTTCAGATGATGTATAAATCTCAATTTTGAAAAATTGACACTTAAGACTGGTTTTGTGGTCCAGGGACACATTTATAATGTTACAAAAGATTTATATTTATAAATAAATGCTGTTCTGTTTGAACTTTCTATTTATTTAAGAATCCCAAAAAAATGTATCACAGTTTTCACAAAAATATTAAGCGTGATATTGATTTCTGAAGGATCATGTGACACTGAAGACTGGAGATATGATACTAAAAATTCAGCTTTCAATCACAAGAATAAATTGCATTTTACAATATATTAAAACAGAACCAAGTTATTTTAAATAGTAAAAATATTTTACAATATAGCTGTTTTTACTGGATTTTTGGTCAAATAAATTCAGCCCTTGTGAGCATAAGAGATTTCTTTTAAAACATTAGAAAATCTTTCTGACCCCAAACTTTTCAACAATAATGTACATGTATAATATACTAACAAATGTGAAGTGAGTATTTTGCAGTTCCTTGACTCTGAGACTGACAGGTCATTTTGTGTGAGACAGGATAACTCCCTCGAGTACGGAAAAAGAAACAGTCGGAGTGGCATGTTTCGCATAGTGCCAAAGTTCAAGAAAGAGAAAGCTCCGAAGAAATCCAGCCCACAGTCAGGTAAGTGTGTGTGTGTGTGTGTGTGTGTGTCCACATATTCAGTATTTGAATATCCTCACATGTGACAGACACTAAAATCATGGATGCCTCATCTTTTGTTGCATTCATAGTCATGTAAAAGTGTATTAGTGTTACATATTGCTTTTTGATTGGAAAAGATGCAAAAGCAGGACACTGAGACTTGGTTTTTTATTTTTGTAGAGGAAGTGACCTGATGATATAGAGCGCCATACAGCATGTACATCCTCTTCTGAGAGGACTCTCTGTTCATGTCCAGTGGTCCTCAGTCCAACCCAACCATCCATGAGTACCCCTGCACTCCTCTAGTCATGGTGTTGTCCTGAGAGTCAGAAACAGTCCATGTGTCTACACATGAACAGCAGACACAAACCAAGGTGTACCGCACAGAAAGGGAACAACACAAACCCAAACATGTCATACTGCACATTAGAGCTGCCCCCTAATAGTCGACTAACTGTTAGTCGATGAGAAGAGGCTTGGTCGACCAAAATTTAATTAGTCGCTTAGTCGCAGAAAAAAAAAATCCACACGAAGTGGCGAAATCACGCAGTCCGTGACGGACAAATCGTTAATGGCTGGTCTATGTGGTAATATAGTACATCGGGCAGGACATATGCTCACCTAACATTCATCGACCTCAAATATGGCTTATCGTCTGAAATATGTATGTAGTAGCAACTTTACATGGCAGCTCAATCTAATGTTAGCCTAGAAAAAAGTGCGC